GGAGAAAAAGAAAATGGAAAAAAGGCATCTTGTGGTGTACTTCTTGTCATATATGTGTCTGAGAAGAAAGACTTTAACTTAACAATGTTACTGCTTTACAAAACTGTGATTTTTAGCGGAATAACAACATACATTGTTTACAGCATCAAATACTCTTTCTAGTAGGTGCAATATGAAATTATTGTAATACACATTGCAGAGGCAATATAATTTCAGCCCACCCAGTAGCTTCCTATAGATAAGGAGATCCCCCATTTCTCCTCTTTCAGTGTGTCTCACCTTGCTGGTGGCTGCATAAAGATTGTATCACTTCTCGTATTCATGGGGTTTTGGCTCAACAAGTTGACTTGGCTCAACAACGGGTGTGAAGACCACTATCTTCAGTGCAAGGGAAGAAGTAGGACAGCACAGCCAGGAACAAGAAGGCAGGCAGACAGACACAGGTCTGTTTCCTTTCACTGAAGGTAAGCAATTAGTGCAGCTTAGTTGCAATGTGTAACCTCACCTTTAGAATAATTCAATTCTATGGCAACATATAAAGCAAAGCTATCAAATTATTTCAGGAAGAAATTAACAGGTCCTATGCAAGTGAAAGAACAACCTTCACCTTCAGAAACAGAAGGATTCTAAAACAACTCGGTGCTTTCACACAAGCTCTCTTTATTGACAGTCTTCAGTTCTTCTATAAACATGAACCTCAACAGGATGCTGACTTTTGCTTTGAACCGACTATCTGTCAATGCCAGGGGACTTTGAAAGGTTGCAGTTACTAGACAATAGGTGCTTGGGTTTACTGTATATGACATTTACTGGAAATATGCTACACTGTACAGTTTAACTGCAAGTACAGACCACAATAGACAGATCAGCAATGTTGTAGGAAATGGTGGTTAAAGTTTTTTCTGTATTTTCCAAAACACACAACTGCTATAACATTTATAGTTAACTGCTATATGACTAAACAGGTGCTGACACCCATTGTCAGCAAGAAGAAATACTTCTTAGGTAAATTAAGCCTTTTTAAAAAAAGTACTCCATTTCTATTGCTGACTGAAGAAAGTGGTATTATTTTAGTGTCCATAATAGGCACAAGTCATTTCAGTGTCACAGTAAATTTAGGATTTTGCTTTCTTCCATGGTAGCAGCTTTCATCATTTCAGACTGTCAAAAGCAGTACCTTGCAGAACATGAGACTAGTAGGCAATTAGCAAGGTACACAAACACAAGTCTTTAACAAGTTTATAGCACAGGTGAATACATGGAAGCTAGACAACTACACATGACTGAAAAAAATTTAAAACCCAGTAGATCTGTTCTTCTTGGAATGCCTTGCAGTTATTGTAAAACAAGTTAATCCATTATACTGCTGCTTTAGCCATCCTGAGCCTGTTTAAATCAAGAATTGAAGGACAAGGTGAGTGTAATTTACAGTAAAAAAATCTTTACCAAGTTAACACCAAAATCCCACCACTAGTGTGGCCAATTCTTACATCAAACCTGAGGAAAGTAATTTTTGCATTCCTTGTTTCAACTTTTAGGTACAAACAGGTGGGCAGTTTCATTCAAAAGAATTTTTCCATAGGCATATGGCTATATCCATACAAATACCTGAGAATTCAAGAGCACTGTGTTTCCAGTAGAACCAGCAAATGATGCAAGTGTTCTGTCTCAACAAAAGAGTGCATTAAGCTTGTCAAGACCTCAAACTTCCAGCTGCTGTAATTTAAACTTCTAGTTTTAAATTAAGCGTAATAACATTTCTAGATGCAACTTGCTTTAGAAGGATGGTTTGGAGACTTGCAGCATTTCCCTCCTCCTGGTAGAAATCCGTAATAGCTGTGTTGGGAGTACTTAAGGGTCACAGGAACATTAGAAAGTCATCCAAAATAATTAAGACAATGAACAGCAAGGAAACCTAATGATTACTGAAAACTTCAGAAGGCAAGCAGTGAGAACAAAAGATTTAACAGTGCCATCTTAAATATGCTCTGGGCCATTGAGCTTTGGATCTAAAACTTACTCACTTCTGTTCTATTTCTCAGCAAAATATGGGTGAGTCTGAAGTTTTACTGATTTAAAAGCCTAAATCTGCAGATAAGATAAAATACAAACCCATTACGCAAGCTGAAGCAGGCAGAGATCCACCAGAGACCACACCACCAATTTGTTCACATCACATTCCTCCATCTTTGTGCCACTGTATGTTTGGGTGTGTAGGTGTCTGCCCCCCCCCCCCTTTTTTTTTTTTAATCCTTTCTTCCTGGTCCCTTAGTTCTGCCCCTCCAGCCGCAGCTCCTTTCTCTTACCCTCCTCCACCATTCCTTCTAACCACCAGAACCTACAGCTCCTCTACACTACCTCAGGTCACGGTCACTGCAGTATCAGTGCATTCATCCATAGCACCCTACGTTCCCTGGAGCATTGCCAGCCATGACACAGCCCTGCAGTGCAGTGTGAAGCTGATCCAAAGGGAACTTGCTGAAGTGGCTAGTAAAGAAACCATCCCAGTATATATGCATACTGAACACAGAGCAGGTATCTACTTTCTTCTCCAGCAATGGGACAGCATATACCTTGTAATCACTGCACGCAGACTTCCCCACTCCCCATCAAGCAAAGCTGCTTTAGGTGCAGTCTCCTATTGTGAGACTTGGGGGTAAACAGACAAGCTGTTACACCACTGTACGGACCCAAATATTTTGTTCTCTTCTGCTCTTAACAATAGCGAGCATTAGATTCTACATGCAGAGACACATTCCTTAACAGGTAAATTGTAGCATTCAAATCTCAGTCCAAGTAGATTGAAAATCTTTCCACAGGATCTAGCAAGCTGTGAAATGTGGTCACTAGTTAATGTGTCAGATTCGCAGAAAAGCAGTTATTAAGAAGCAAAAAAGACCACAGCAGCTGTAAATGTGCATTCTAGGATATGCATTTCAATAAAAGAAACTACTAACTCAAGTATTTCTTCACCTTCACCCCCCTCATTTTAGGTTACTCACCTAGTAGTTATAAAAATCAAATAGATCAGAAAGTTTCAGAAACTAGCCAGAATTCAGATAAAATTTTATTTAAAAAGCGCCACATACAGAAAGCCTTGCTGACAGAATGAGAATGCAGGCATATAAATAAAATAGAAGAAAGAAAATAATGATTTTTCAAGTTGTTGAATGCTTGCAAAAATTAAACAGTAAGTTTTTTTCAGTGCAAGGGCAAGCTCAGTTCATACTATGCAGTCCTTAGTGCACAAAAATTAGGAAAAGAAAAAATTGACTTTAAAATACCAAGTGATGCTAATGACTAAACAAACATTTAAAATGAGTTTCAAGCATTGCATTTTTATCAGACATGATGGTACAGTCTTCCAGAAGTTTCACATACTTTTTAATTTGAAATGCTATTTCAGTTGTAATAATTTCCTGTAAAAGCATGGCAAACCTCAATGATTTCAATTTAGTAAGGCAGTCTCAAACCATTTCTTGTTAGAAAAGTATTTTGAATAGTTAAATTTTTTTAAAGTTAGATATATACACCTGTTTTTTTCCCGCTACACAAATCTTACAGAAGAATGTGTTCCCATGTGTTTACCACTGAAAATAAGCTCTGGTTCTCTACACAGCAGACACTATTCCATAGGCAATTCTGATATAACAGAAATAGCATGCAACATAAAATATGCTGGGATAGGTGACATTACAGTTCTTAAAGGCTAAGAGAGTCTTGAAATTACTTGTAAGCTTAGAATCAAAACTCCAAGAAAAGCCTCTGGCACCAAAATACAAGCATCAGCCAATTCAGGGCTGTGTCTTTCCATTTTTCTTTCACACTGAAGCTGCCTCATGGGGCAGATAGCCCCTACTGAAGTTGACAGGACTAGCAGCAGACCGGTATACTATATAAGGAAGGATGTAAAGGTCTGACCTTTAAGTTCCCACAGTTAATGACTGGTGACAGTACCAAGAATTTACAGTGAGTATGAAGAGACAAACACAAACTGTAAAAACCTTTTTATTCTCAAGGTTTTCATTTAAAGAGCCTTGTATTGTGAGCAAATTAGTTCAAAAGGTGAAGGAACTTCTGGAACTTAGAACACTTTAAAGGACAACACAATATTCAGTTGATGTAACAGGTTATTTTTGGAGCATGATGAAGTTAATGAGAATATGGTTAACATTCTTTAATATTACTTCCTCTTATGTTTAGGTATCTCTTTAGTGAACCTCACAAAGGTTTTTTTTAGTCCTTTAAGCGGTTTTTTGAAATTTTGAGGTGAACACGTACTATTCTTAGATGCCCTAGCAGCTTGCAAGATTTTAAGGCTCTACACTTACTATACCCCTTTATTTAATGGGTTTTTAGAAATGGAGATGCTTATTATAGAAGATAAAATTTTAAGTTGCTGCACACCCAGCTCATTAATGTTGCATTTAGGAATAGAATTCAGGTCTCAGTAAATAAAAGTCACTTTGTATGTTCTTACCTATATTGACTGAAAAAGCGTTTGAGTACCATGTTAGCTCACCAGTCAAACAAGTTAAAAAACTTATCAAAAAATACTTTGTACATTCTTCTGTATTTCAAGCGTCAAGTAATAAACTTTCTCTTAAACCAAGTTGTATCACACAACTATCAAAAATTAACAAACAGAACAATGCTGGAACAAACCATTCTGCTTAGTTTTGGGCTTGGTCCCAAAAGAGGTAGTCCATAAGTCACACAAAAATAAAAATTCCACAGAAGTTAACCTAACGTGCCAATCTCCTCCACCATACGCAGCCTTATCACTAAATGACGCTATTTTGTATCCGAAAACATTATAAGTTAGTGTTCATGTAAAAAGAGGAACTATACTTGAAAATTATTTCTTCATCTGTAACGGAAATTCGGTCCAGTTGAACCAATATATTAACTAGGCTTTGCGCATCAGCCTCATTAGTAAGAATTCAGCTTTTCTCCAAATTAAATCTGAAACATGCCTAATACACAGGTATGCCTTTAAATAACAAAGGATACATGTATTTAGGTTTGGAGAGAAGCTTCAGATTGTTAAACCTGTTAGTAATACAGGTATATTTGCTATCATTTCTCTACAAATGCTGCTGCCGCCATTGAATTCCTCATGGTTCCTCTTGCTGAAGCTGTGAATCCTTCAATTTCAGCATTCAGTCTATTAATTACCCATTCCAATGCTTCACGGCCCTAGAGTTAAAGAAAAGTTTATCAGTGTATAAATCTTAGTAAATAAGTAAATAGGTTAAACTCTGCCTTACTGAAAATGACTAAAGACACAATAGTTGAAAAACAAAGAAGAGGTACAGAAATACAGGCCTCTGGTATTTTTTACTTCAATAACCAGAGTACTGCCTTACATTTCATGAAAAAATTCCTTATGTCAGCAGTGCATTATTATCATCAGTCACATTATGAACCGCAAAAGACTTTTTATCCAGATTGTTTTATCATTCTTGAAGATGAACTCAAGACATCTTTGGATTCCCAGAGGACAGACGCTCAACTAAAACACCACTTCATTACTCCCATGTAACTACTTCAGATCTATCTGGATGTATAGACTTTTCAAATAGCAAAAACTACTAGATAGCATCAAGAGAGCAGCAAAAGAGTGACAGTGCCGGAGGGAGTGGAGATGTTTTTTTCCAGTGAAGATTCAGAGAGCTTTGTCAATAATAGTTTATTGTCTCCATTCACAGGAGGAGAAAAAAAAAAAAAAAAAAAGTTCAGCAAGCTGAGCATTCAGTCTCTCCAGTAAAGGCAGCAGAACTATGCAGACCCTTCCTAAGATTGCTGACAAAGCCAAAAAGTAAAACAGAGATTTTTTTTTTCCTTTGTCATTTAGCCACTGGTCACACATTTTACACAAAAGTCATACTTACTTTATTAGCATTGGAAGAAATTGTGTTTGCCATTAGCCCTTCTAGGTAACTGCTGAGACTGACACCTTTTACAGATATTATTGCTTCTTGTGTCAAAATGGTCCTGAAACACAAAGCAGGAAACTGAATTATTCTGAGTAGTTTAAAAAAAATTCATTACTGAAAGAAACTAGCTCCTCTCCAACAAGTACATTCCCTCATCAGCTTTGTTGTATAACGCAGAACTTCTTGCCCCATAAACACAACCCACTTCCACAGTGCTTAACTGCTTTATGCTTCTACTCATAAATTAAAAACCAAGAGTCCCCACTAAGTGCAAGCATCCCTTTGTGGCACTCAACTATTTCCATCTTTAGCAGCAGGAAGTTAAGAGTGGAAACAGCAGATCTGGAGTGAAGGTATACTGGGAAAACAGTATTAAGATATCCCCTTCAACAATAGGGATTTAACATTTCTGGCTGTCATGATAGAAAAAAAACCTCTTATGTTAGAATCTCTAGAAGGATTCTTCAGAATTATCACTAGTTAGAATCATAGAATCATTTGGGCTGGAAGGGACCTTTAGAGGTCATCTAGTCCAACCCCCCTGCAGTGAGCAGGGACATCTCCAACTAGATAAGGTTGCTCAGAGCCCCATCCAGCCTGACCTTGAATGCCTCCAGGGACAGGGCTTCCACCACCTCTCTGGGCAACCTGTTCCAGTGCTTCACCACCCTCATCGTAAAAATTTTTTTCCCTATGTCTAGTCTAAATCTACCCGCTTTTAGTTTAAAACCATTACCCCTTGTCCTGTCACAGCAGATCCTGCCAGAAAGTCTGTCCCCAGCTCTCATATAGGCCCCCTTTAGGTACTGGAAGGCTGCAATAAGGTAACCCTGAAGCCTTCTCTTCTCCAGGCTGAACAACCCCAACTCTCTCAGCCTGTCTTCATAGGAGAGGTGCTCCAGCCCTCGGATCATTTTCGTTGCCCTCCTCTGGACCTTCTCCAATAGGTCCATGTCTCTCCTGTGCTGAGGGCTCCAGAGCTGGATGCTGGAGTTCCAGCAGTATAGACTCAGTAAGCTCTAAACTTGCCTTAAAAAAAATGACAGTCCATTTAATTCCTTTTTAGACAAGTTACCGTAACAGAAGTGATGTAAACATCATCTTCTTTTCAAGGGAAACCATGGAAATTTTCAAAGTCAAAGTCTGTACTACTTCAGGGCGATCTCAGAACAAAGCAGTACTTACTTGTCTGGCTCGTGAGGGTGTGGTTTATAGACAAGCCTCTCATCTACTGACACTAGGTTTGTAAATGAAATCTGTGGAATACAAGACAAGATGACCTTTTGATAAAAATATTAAAGGAGTGTAGTAAATAAAACTGCAGATTCAAAACTAATACTTCTATCAGATTTAAACATTATACTTTCTGCAAGTATTACGGTGGTAGAACAAGACGGAGAAATTGCCAAGTTCAGCATCTGCTGATCTAGTTCTGTTTCCTTAAGTTTTTGGATCATTTACCAATATACACTACCACATTTATAAGAACATTTCAACAGTGGGATCGGACAGACGCAGTAGCAGAAAGACCAAAATGTTACATGATTAGAACAAGGTGACAGTGTACACCAAATGGCTTTTAAAATTTTTTTCTTAACACTCCCATCCCCTCACCCCCAAAACTACTCCTGTCCTGCTCATCAGTATGCTCAGATGCTTCGGTCCTGCCAAGTTCCAAAAACTTAGTCGCTCCTTTCTGAAAAACAGAACCAGCTATAAACATATTACTTAAACCTTTAACTTGTATTGTTCTAATGCAATTTTCAAGTAATTTTCAAGATGATTTTCCTTTTCAAATTTACAAGGTATTATTATAATCTGTAATCTATTTCAATTGCACAAACACAGCTACTTACATTACTGGATTTAAGCTCCATTGTTTTTTTCACTGGGTCAACAACAGAGTGCTCCTGAACGTATGTCTTTGTTCTGCATGTACCAATGAGCTAGAAGACAGGCAAACATATATGGAATTAATTATGCTAACTGACTGCAATTTTTTAGTGCTTTTAAATGCATAAGTAGTGGTTATTGTATTGAACAGACACCGATACAACAGAATTAGCGTTTAGGTTAAAATAAAACTATTCAGTTGAGGTAGATCTCATTTTCAAGATGGAAGCAATCTAACATCTAGGCAATTTTTGGCTATCAGGAAGTCTCTACATGTACTGCTGTTGAGCTTTCCTGATATATAAATGCTTATATTTTTAAACCATTAAAGTTATGAAATTATACACATCTATTACAACACCTAGCTCACAAGCTTCCCCTCCCTCCGGCATCCTTTTCAGGCTCTGTAATACAATACGTACGGATTTCACAATGGAGGGTATTCCCCATTCTGTACTGAGGAGTCTGTGGCTGTGCAACTTCCCACTGGGGTCTATGTGTCTGTCCAGGACATCGACTCCCACCACGCTGGGGTTCATTGGATTGGGGTATTTCTGCATGGCAGCCGTCGTTACAGTTTCCCAGGGGTGACTGCCAAAACAGAATCGAGACACAAAGTTGTACACCTTCATTTTTTAATAGGATTTCTATTAAAACGGAACAAATCAATCGATTTATATTTTTAAATCAGTCCAGTTTCCAGTTCTTAACCCTACAAATATCCTTCCCTAGAGGAAAACATCTGTCCCGTGGATTGGACAGTGGTACATGCAAGTTCAACATACAATACACCCGATTAATCAGGACTCCTGAGTTCAATTACCTTCTGGCTTATAACTTGATAAGAATGTTTTCCCTGTGACATAATGCTGAAAGATTGGAATTTTTTTCAGGTAGAATAATTTATTAAAGTTGTTACTTTCCTCTAACAAGCATCTCCTTCGGATTATTTTTCAACATAGGTATCTTGGAGCACCTGAGCCCCGACAACATGAAGCAAATCACCATGCATTCCGTCAGTCCTACACCCAGGAGGCGAGGACAGCACAAAGATAACCCTTCCCACGGCCGACACCGCAGCTGGATCCGCGCTGCACAGGTACACCTTCCCGTTTGGTTTTTAAGCGGCTTCCAGAGTCTCACCGGCTGCGGCC